AAGTGGGAATTATGGTTGTTAAAATAGTAAAAACACAGCAAATCTTCATTGTGTTTAAACATTTGTTCTTGAGCGCCAGACAGTTTTTTTTGGCTGTTTTAAAGGAGCAATGAATGATGAGGTTGAGTGTGTCAATATTTTGACTGCGAACCTTGTTAACCGGTTTGATAGCAGCGAGAATACCGCGGACAAGATTCTTCTTGTCGTTTTTGGTCATGGAATGCGATTGAAGTTCATCAACGAGCTTAGGCTCGATGACTTTTGAGCCTTTGTCCACATAGTATTCAACACTCTGAAGTGATAGATATCGATAGAATGAGACTGAATCTTCATATGTTTTGAAGCGATTCTCAAATTTATTCGCAGGGTTTTTGACGATTTTCATATCAGAGTTTTCGGAGGGTTTTCTTCGTTCTGAAATTTCACACCTTCGTTCTAGATTTTCCTAGGTATCCGGATGAGCCGAGAGAGAACTCCTTCAAGTAAGTAAGTGAGAAAACTTTCAGGTTCTCATCATTATCGTGAACCATCTTAAACGAAGAATTTCCCAGCTANTTTAATATGGCTACAGTGTCACTGTTGCTTTACAAATGGACCAATACTGATGCAATATAATGAATGATACTGAATGAACCAAATTATATCGCCTCTTGTCAAAATATGAGACAGTGAACGCTAGTTGAGAATATGAAAACATTTCTTCGAAAAAGTCACATAAATGATTTTATTTTTCTGCATTCAGCCGAACAGAATTCAAATCCTATTCAGTTTTCAACTGGTCATCCATTATTGGTTCTTGTATGGAATACATTATTCCACAAAATCGGGAATTGAGGTGCACGGAAAGGGAATAAGACTCACCTTAAAGAATGAAGGATTCAGTTGCTCGTCCATCGGCAACTTGGAATCGTCGAGTTGTTGTTGAGCGTCGAGAGTCGGCGCCGAAGCGAAACATCTCGCGCCGATGATACGCGTACTGCCGCGGGTTATTGCCGACAGCATAGTTGAGCAATACCTCAGATTGAAGATCTGTAACAGCAATAAATCAACAAATAACCAACGAATCAAGCAGATAATAGATGAAGCTCTCGAAGGCACGTATTCACAAGCGCCACTGAATGATCGCACTCAGTGCAGCTTCTGTGTTCGCCTTTAAGTACCACCTCTCTGAAGGTGGTCAACATCGAGATGCTTTAATAACACTCTATTGCCTTGTTTAACTATCTGCTTAATTCAGTTAACAATCACTTAACAATATCTATTTATCGAGCCGTTCCGTCGTCTCCGCAGTTCTTATCAAAGCAATTTGGTTGCTTTTTGCGCCCCGCCTAGTGATTTTTCATCAACAAAATTGTGCTGTTCGGTGCAAGTTTTCGTTCGTGCGATCGCTCCATTC